GTGGAGAATATGAACCCAAGTTTTCGTCACCTGGCCGTATATACAGAATCAATTATTGGGGCCCATAAAATTTTTACACTGTGGCCTAACTAAATTGAAAATACCTAAAAATGTTATTGAAAATCATTATATTTAATACTAAACTTAAATATAAGTTATTTACTATGATTATTTATAAATACATCTATATATATTAGAATAATGAAAGGCAAACATCATTACTAAATTTTAGTTAACTATATAAGTATAGCTATTTTTATATTAATAATTACCTGATCCCTTATGGGTCACCGTTTTTACTTTGAAATATTATCAGTAAGCAATGACTAAGCCCTGGTAATCAACCTTATTGTATATAATAATATCAATAAAAGAAATTTGTATCTGCTAAGTTTGATTCAGCCAGAAAAAGATTAGGTTGGTTTCAATATCCTATTTTCCTTTTCTTCTTTCCTTCTCTTCTATATTTAATTGAATTTTCATGTCACTCCTACAGACCTTGTGTTTGATCCAATTCTCTTGATAATACTGAAAGTTTAAAACTTTATGTTAGATACTAAATTAATAAACGCCAGGTTTTTATTGTTGTTATTCATTTCAAAATTAATTATCGTGTACAATAATTTTTATGCAAAGTTTTAAAATATAATTAATAACGGTTAGTATATAGTTAAAGTGGGAAATATGAAAACTAATATTTTAAGTTAGTTCTCTTGAAAACAAATTATCCAATGGATCTAAAACATAATTTTAAGTATATGTACAAAAATATATAAATATCTATATAATAAATAATATTTTATCGATTGCTACGAAATGTTATTGTTTAAATTAATACTCACTAATGATTACTACTTTGTTACATTGAAATAATTGTAACTAGTCAAATCACTTATAATAATATTATGAATAATTAATATTTACTACACATAGAAATTTTATTAACCGTGATATTTATGTCGTGGAAGTGGCAATCGTGTTATTATTGGAATTGATATCACGATCACTGGAAAGCGAATTAGTGTTTTATAATACATTTCTACATAATAGTACATTATCCTAGACAGTAATTCAATAAAAATAAGATATTAAACCTACTCAATTTTGTATAAATATTATATAGCATTAAAGTGTATAAATTATACTCAGCATGGTTCTTGTAATAAACTAAAAGCTTAAAAATTATTAATATGATGTATCTACTAGAGTCAAATAAGTAGTAACAATTTATACGTATAAACTTGATAGATATTAATGATTTTCAACTAAAGTAATTAATTGAAACGATTAACAACTTCTTAATCAAAATTACTTCAAGGTTTGGTAAAGTAAGTGTTGCATTAACCGTAATAAGTTTAGTATGTACGAAAATGTATATTATATTATTTAAAATTCTTATTGGGTAAACATGAATATTATTTTCTTCTAAAAACTTGAGATTTTCAACATATACAAATATGATGATTATAATATGCAGCTGTCATGATAAAAATTATTCTATTTTTAAGACTATTCTTATAAACTGCTTTTTTTCTTAATCAGTTTATTTAAAAAATTATATATTTTAAATAATTATACGAAATAATTTAAGAAAATATTTTGTTAATATTATCTACTGAATTTTTAGTTTCAACTATGCAATTGATATAACAGTTTTAAATTTTTTTCATAAAATATATGCACACAATATAGTAATAATATCATACTCTCAAATGAAACATGCATGGGTAAAATACAGTCTATACGTTATGAGAGATAAACTATGTAATTGTTTAATTGCTGCTTAAGATAATTGTTAGTTATAACTATTTGATATTTTTATGTTCTAAAATCATGAATATGTATTAAAAATGAACACGTATGATAAAATATAATTTTAATGTTGTATAATCATTATGCAATTATTAAAATTGTACAATTATCAAGTATTGAAGTTCTTGACAAATACTAAAAATATATATAATGATTTGAACTCTAAATTTATATATTACTATTTATAAACTGTAAATATCAAAAAATCAATAAATTTAAAAAAATAAAAAGATAAAATCAAATAAATTTGTATTTATAAACGATTCCAATAATGATTATAATAATAATTATATCACTTATATTTTATTTATGTTTCATGCTTAATTTTTGTCGATATTTTTTTAAAATCATATTCACTGTATATTATTGTTTTAATAAATAGCGGCATTTTTGTATTATACGGCTATTAACATTGATGAGTGGTTGCTCGAATCCGAAATTCCTAATTTCAAGGCGTTGGTGTATGTCTTTGGTGTTATTAGCTTCTTAGCCGCGACTCAAGATATAGTTATTGATGGCTGGGCACTGACAATGCTTAAAAAGTAAATTGCATGTATTTAAATTTAAAATTATGTTTTGAGACTGACAAAACATACAACTTAATGATTTAAAATGTATTTTCTTAGAAACAATGTGGGTCATGCGTCCACGTGCAACGGAACGGGTGTAGCATTGGGTGTGCTTTTAGGTACTTTTTTTCCCGTTTTACTTACTTCTGGAGACTTTTGTAATAAATACTTAGGCACAACCCTCAGCACAGAAGGAATTATCACCATGAAAGGTACTTGAGTAAACAGTATAAAATGCATGTACTATTCATAGTATTGGAGCACTGGTATTTAGATTATTTTGTTATAACGATTTGAATTTAATACTTATTTATGTTATTAATGATTTTATATTAAATTATTGAATTCCTAAATATTTCTATAAATTTCAATTAAATTGGGGTATTAATAATGTAAACAATAATTATTAGAAGTTAAAACTATTTAAATTCTTTTGAATTATAAAACTTTTTTTATTATAATTCCGTTAGGATTTTTGTGTTTTTGGAGCATCACAATAATATTTATTACAATATTAATTGTTATATTCAAAAGAGAAAAAGATAACAGATTAGAAGAGGAACATGTTAAAATTAATGTTCTTCAAAGTTATCAACTTCTTTGGAAAATTTTAAAGCTGCCTAGTATTCGTGTATTGGCAGTTGCATTATTAACAATGAAAGTTAGTTATTGTGTTATTATACCTAAGCTTTTTACATATAACTACTATCGCAATTTTAATCGATAAATTAATATTTTTTTTATTTAGATGGGATTTTCAGCAACCGATGCTGTATCAAACCTTAAACTAATTGATGCCGGTATATCTAAAGATGACATACTGATAATAACTACATCGATGTATATAGTTAAAATGGTTGTCCCTCTCATTGTATCAAAATATACTTCAGGTACTAAACCGATGAGTGCTTACATGAAACTAATGCCAATCAGGTATGAAAATTAAAAATAAAATTATGGGAACAAAAACTTTAATACATAAACATATTTATAAACTCAATTTGTTTTCTAAAATTTTCTAAAATCGGTCTAATCAGAAAAATAAATAAATATAATATAATACTAATTGAGCTGACCGAAGTTATAACGTCGTCCTGTCTAATTTATGAATGTTGAATATATGATTGATATATTGAAAAAAAATAATTTTATTCTAGTACGTTATGATACTCAACATTCTTCATTTTATTTATTCTTACTTTATGGTTAATTTAGTAGAACATATATTTTTTATTTTTTTTTCGGGTTATGTGTTTAAGATTTTATCTTTAATAACTCATTTTTTACCCAATTTTTAATTTTTTGCTTCTAAACCTTATCCTGACAATAAATTCAATAAAAAAAGAATTAGCAAAATCCGTCCAGCCGTTCAGTTGTGATACCGTGACGCAGATAGGATTAATTTTTGTATATGAAAACTTAGGGTTATGAAAAACAATAACACGCTATTAAATATAATATATTAATCGTTGTTAAACACTAATGCTCGGTTGGTGTATTCTGCATGTATGAATTTGAGATGTTTTACCCTTGCACCCCAAGATCAAAATTTAAACTTAAAAACTGTTTGATATTATGTTTTTTATAATGTAACAATTTGTAACCAAAATATAAAATTTTGTAACCACGTCGATATCCCAGAAAACAGCGTTACAAGTTCCGGGTGTCAGGGTAACTTTACTTATTTAAATTTGTTATAGAACAGCTTAACATTTTGGTATGGTATAAATATTGAAAATTTTATCTAATGTCCTTCATAAGTTGTTATTGTTGAAATTTAAAAATATGAAAATACATATACTATATAGATGTAACCCTTTTATAGGCATTTGAAATTTAAATTTTGACAGAATTCGATATTTCAATGAAAAATAACGACTTTTTATTTTAATAAAATTTTAAAATATTGTTCGTGTGTTGATACTTGAAACACTTAATGTTCATAATTAATATATTTTATATGTATATAATGACATACTATAATGCAAGTTTTTTGGGAAATATAAATTGAACGTTCTGTTTTACTAGTGTCCAATATTCAATTACAATATTACCATAGAGTGTGTAATTTTAGACGCGTCTAAGCGTATTTATTCTTTTAATGTATCTACCTATTCATATTACTTTTATATATTTTACATATTATTTTATATTATTTATTTATTTTTTACATTTTGTTATGTTACAATTTACAATATATACATATTTTTATAATTATTTAATTGCAAATATCAATTTTTTTTTTTTATCATTTTATAATATATTTTTATTTACCCTTTTTACAAATTACTTTGTATGCCGTTTATAATAATTGTATTTATACTTTATTTTAAATATTAATATTATTTTTAGATTTACCTCTACTATTTTATGGATTGGTATTATAATTATATATATTATATGTAAAAGCAACTGGTGCATTTTGCTCTAGAAACGGTTTGAGGGACATCGGCATAAAAATAAGGTACTTTCGAATGCCAGTATACGCCTGACGGGCCGTCTTCTCTCAGAATCTTTTTTCGTATGCAATGATTTTAAATAATTGAATTAAAATTAAATACATATAATACTGTGACTCTTCTATACACCTACTATACAGCAGAGCGTTACTCACTTGCTCTCTTTTTTTTTATTTTATCTCAATATTACTTGCGTGTTAAAGGCTTGTATTATTTAAAATCGGATAAATAGATATAAATAGTTTTAAATCATTAATTTTATATTTTTACAATTTATTTTGTAAAAATTGACATTTCAATATTTTCTTTTTCTTTTTGTGGTAATATTCTCCATCTCTGAGATCATCATAAACTTCCCATTTATCATTGGATATGTATGTAAACGCCTGCAATTACTTTTAAACCCTTTAACCGGATCACAAAATTCTATAGTCCTTCTTAAAAAAACAAATTTCATCTTTAATTTTTATTATTTTTGGAATATATTTTAATTGAAATTGAACCTCTCCTGCATAGTTTTTTTGAATTTCTCTAATATTATTTAAAATGAAGCTGGTTGATGCTTCTAGATCTGTGGACATGAAACAATATAAGAATTACAATTTTTTTTAGAATATGAAATAATTACTTCTCTTTATTATTGATGGTATACCTTTTAATAATTTGTTCGCTGGTGATGAAATAGTATCCATTTCATCCATTAATTTGATATCATCGACAATAGGATTATGATTTAATTCATAGTGTAGAGCTAGTAATTTTATACGTTCCTTAAACAATTTTTTTCCACTTTTATTTTTTATCATTTGTATCAAAAATTGCAATGTTTTATTTATTTTTGACTTTTTTAAAAGAAACTTGTTGAATATGTCACTATCTGCAGCAGCACATGCTAGAATAGTCAATAATGAATCTTGAGAACAACTATTAGTTAAGATTACTAACGTATTACTATTTTTCAGAAACATTACAACATTTTCTTTACTTCTCAAATTTTAATTTAAATGAATAAATCTTGGCTGAACAACAAGATATTATTTGCTGGATCTACAATTTGTAATATATAATATATTTTGTATTAAAATATGTCAATATATACATAAAAAATATATATTAATTATGAACATTAAGTGTTTCAAGTATCAACACACGTACAATATTTTAAAATTTTATTAAAATAAAAAGTCGTTATTTTTCATTGAAATATCGAATTCTGTCAAAATTTAAATTTCAAATGCCTATAAAAGGGTTACATCTATATAGTATATGTATTTTCATATTTTTAAATTTCAACAATAACAACTTATGAAGGACATTAGATAAAATTTTCAATATTTATACCATACCAAAATGTTAAGCTGTTCTATAACAAATTTAAATAAGTAAAGTTACCCTGACACCCGGAACTTGTAACGCTGTTTTCCGGGGTATCAACGTGGTTACAAAATTTTTTTTTGAAGTTTCAAATTGTTACCTTATAAATAACATAATATCAAACAGTTTTTAAGTTGTAATTTTGATCTTGGGGTGCCAGAGTAACACACCTATGAATTTGTTATGTTGTATCTGAAATATAAACTAAACAAATAATGATATTTTGATAAATTATGTTTTAGGTTACTTTGGAGCATTCCTTTTGCTGTATTAATATATTACACGCCTCTTTTGATCAAAAGTAATGGTGTTATAAATGTACCAATATATTATTATTTGATATTAGTATTTATTTACATTGTACACGAGGTTAGTATTTGATTATTTCAAATAATTTATATATATATATATATATAAACATATGTATGAATTTAATTTTTATTTGTATCATTATTACAAATGATCACTGATAAATGGTCAATCTTAAACTTAAATTAATTATATGATACTTGAATATATTAAGTAGGTACAAACTAGGGACGTATACAAAATACAATTTGGGGGGGGGGTATACAAAATATAGTAATACAAATTGTACCGCAACATAATAAAACGATTTCTTCCTCGTTACTCGTTATTTTTTACTATGGCAATTATTATGCTAAGTATCCAAATTTTATGTATGTTATTTGTTCAGAAGTAAGTTTATAAGAACAATTTTAATAATAATAAATACAAATTTAAATATTATGAACAGAACAGACATTTATTTTATTAGTACCTATGCACATAAAATAACTTAAGTGTATAATAACTATTAAGTACCTAGATAGAAGAAAAAAAAAAAATCAAACAATTTATTTATAATACATTAAAAAATTAAAAATTTAAGTATAAAATCCCATTTTCGTGGTAAGTTAGCAAATCTATCAATAATTTCTACCAAATTTAAATCAAAATTTCGGTGTATGTTTAGTAGTGCCAATCCAGTAAGTCTAATTTCTCTTATATTGTTTCGTAAATACGTTTTAAGTCTTCGTAGAGTTGAGAATGACCGTTCGCAGTAACAGTTGTAATAGATTATGTGGCCAAAATGTAACGTATAGTATTGATTTAATAATACATAAATTAGCAATTTAATAGAAATTTTTGGTCATCAATTGAGATATAAGAAATGATTATAGCAAAATGTGAGTTTTCTAGGCATATATCGCAATGTTCAGTTCTCACACGTGCGTAATTCTCAGTAATCAGTTATCACTTTATTTGACTATAACACTAAATTATAAACTTGTATTTTATACCCGACTAATATAAATTAAAGAAAACTAACCAACAGCTAGTAATAAAAATATTTTATAATAATAGGTGTATATAATTTGACTTAATTATTAAAAGGATTATTTCGGGGGGTTTGAACCCCCAAACCACCGCTGTATACGTGTCTGGTACAAACATTTAAATTTGAAAATAAATATTTTGCCCGCAAATAATGTAATATATTATTCACTATTTTAAGGTCGTATGTACATTTCGGTATAAGGGACATTTTTGAAGTAAACTTTGCCAGGAAAAAATTGGGTGAAATTGTGGTCTTGTAAGCTCTACTAGAAGATACAATCGGTAACAGTAAAAAATTAATACGAAGGAATTGGAAGGCACGAAGTCATGTGAATATCTCTTGACGAATTTGTTTAATAAATGTATTGCCATTTTTTTTAAATTGAATCTCAATATTAAATATTTCATTGAAAAAGATATCAACGTATTTAATGTAAGGAAGTTTCAATATGGATTTATTGTGTAAAGTTTATAATCGCCCACTTTTTATTATATGTACTTAAATAAAGTCATATTATTTCAATTCATGTAAATATAATACTTTAATTAAATTGGTATATGAGTTGGTTTTATAACGATGAGTATTAATTAATTAATTTATACAATATACATATTATTGAGAAGTTTTTCTGTAAATTCATTTTTTTTAAGTAAAGAATTTAATTATATTTTCAACATAACAATATATTTTGGTAGCGAATTGGTTTTAAATAATACTTGAGATCAAAAATAAAAATTAACAGTAGCTTTAGAATAATGAAAAGCTTTAAACAAAACATAATGTAAAAAAAAAAATTTATCTAACAACATTTATTGACACTAAAGATTGCGGAATTTTTTTTATGTTATAATTTGAAAAAAAAAATTAATTGAATAAAATCAAAAAAAATATCACTATCACATGACTTAAAATTTTCTACACACAATGATATTTTCGAAAACTTTACAATAATTTAAAATTATTTGTACAACACATACAATTAATAACGTTTTAAAGTAATTCTGGATTGGCATACAAGTTAATGACAATAATCTTATGTGAAATAATATTGAAATATCGAAAAATATGGTATAGGTAATTATAGTTTTTGGATATAATAATTTCAATCATCCATATTACTGATAGAAAAAATAAATAAATAATAAAATATTCTTAAAACTATCAATACCTGAGTACCTTACTATTTAGAATCATTTTTCTTCTGCAATAATTTGATTTTATGTACATTGTATTCAAAACTTGAAAGAACAAGTAAACGATGATAACATTGTTTTGATTTTAGATTTTGGCATTTACTATGTACATTTTTACGCTTGGATTTTTCTCTCGGATATGTGACTCGCGTTTTGGCGGTACATACATGACGATGCTATCCACAATTGCCAGTTTTGGATGGGTTTTAACAAACAGTTTGGCATTGCGAATGGTTGACGTGCTAACGTTTAGTAAATGTTCAAATGACGATTTTAATAACTGTTCTACG